GAGCCAGTGCTGGGGTAGCCGTGGCCCGCCAGATTCGCTGAAACGCCCAGGATGGGAAGTGAGAAAGCATTTTCTTAAGAGCCAGCGCCGGGGTAGCCGTGACCCCCACACGGTAGCTGGCGCCCAGAATGGGTGTGGGAAGACAGAGAGAACCACTCGAGCCTCGACCGTCGAGCCACGATAGGCGACGGCTGCGAGTACGACAACGACGACAGCGTGGGCGCAGACGACAACGACGACGGCGATGACGCAGACGACAACGACTACAGCGAGGACTGCGACGGTTACGGCGTTGACGCCGACGACGAGTGCGACAGAAACGTATCCTACGAGCCAGCGCCAGGGCAGCCGTGGCCCCCCAGGTCAGCTCAAGCGTCCAGGATGGGAAGTGCGAAAAAATACCTCCCAGGAACCAGCGCCGAGGTAGCCGTGACCCCCCAGGATAGCTCGCGTCCAGAAGTGGCTCAGAAAGACAGACAAACAAAACCAACTCAAGCATCGATCGTCGATCCACGATAGACGACGGCTGCGACGACGACGACGACGACGACGACAGCGTAGACGACGACACGAACGACTACATCGACCACTGCGGCGATTACGTCGACGAAGGTTGCAACGAAAACGTATACTACGAGCCAGCGCCGGGGTAGCCTCTGCCCCCCAGATGAGCTCGAGCGCCCACAATGGGAGTAGTGAGCGCATCTTCTGAGGAGCCAGCGCCAGGGTAGCCGTGACCCCCCTGGATAACTCGCGTCCACAATTGGACCAAACTGACCGAGAAAACCACCTCGTGCCTCGATCGTCGAGCAATACAGCGACGAGAAACCGAAGACGAAGAAACGAACGACTCCATCGACGACTGCGGCGATTACGACGACGAGGATTGCCACGAAAACATATACTACGAGCCAGCGCGGGATTATCCGCGAGGAGGGGGAGGAGGAGGAGGAGGAGGAGGAGGAGAGGGAGGAGGAGGAGGAGGAGGGAGGAGGGGGAGGGAGAGGAGGAGGATGAAGGAGGAGGAGGAGGAGGCGGAAGAGGGCACGAAGCGCCGGTCTCACGAGAAAGGAAGCCTCTTGGGGCGTGTTGGTAGCCGTTCGGGAGCCTCTCGGGGCCTCTTCTGGAGCTCTTGGGGGCGTCTTGGGGCGTGTTGGGGACCTGCTGGCGGCCAGGGGGGCCGTCTTGGGTCTCTCCTGGGCCGTCTTAGGCGCGTCTTGGGCTGTTATGGTGCCCTCTTGGGCTGTCTTGGCGGCCTCCTGGGGACAATCGGGAGCGTCTTGAAGCGTCTGGGGCGGTTTGGGGCGCCTCTTGGGCTGCCGTGCAGCGCGCCCAAGCCGTCTACCAGTGTATTGTAAAATTGTAAGTTGTCCATGGGATTTTGGCGATTTTCGCCTTCGGGGGCTCTCTTGGGAAGTCTCTTGGGCCTCTCTGGGTGCGCTTTGGGAGCCTCTGGGGCTGTCTTTGCGCCATCTTGGGCGTATTGCACCCCTCTTGGGCTATTTTCTCGAGCTGCAGCGTGCTTGGACAGAGTCTGAGTGCGGTCTCGGGGCCCCTGTCCTCCCATGCGGTGCGGGGGTCCTTGGGCCCGGCCAGGGAGCCTCGGTTCCCCTGGATATATATATATATATATTAAACATGTAAGCATACATACATACATACATACATACATACATACATACATACATACATGCATGCATGCATGCATGCATACAAACATGCATGCATACATACATACATACATACGTACATACACACATGCATACATATATAGATAGCTAGATACATACATACACACACATATACATACATACATACATGCATGCATGCATACATACATGCATACATACATACATACATACATACATACATGCATACATACATACATACATACATACATACATACATGCATGCATACATACATACATACATACGTACGTCCACACGCACATATACCGTACGTAAGCATAGATAGACATGAAACTATGTCCGCATATGCATACAAACAAACAAACATACAGACACACATACATACACACATCTTCCGATACATATAAATACCCGTATCCCCCGCCTCCCGCTGCCCTCCCTTCCTATGCCTCCCCTCCTCTTCCCCCTCCTCCTGAACCCTCCTCCTCATCATCATGATCATCATCATGATCATCATCTTCCTCCTCCTCCTCCTGCTGATTCCTGATTCCTGACGGCTGAAAAGAAAAACGCGTCCCTCGTAGCCTCTCATCCCCATGGCCAATGGGCCCTGGGGGGGTTCATCGAAGTAAAGCCTGGTGACCCTTGGGGCACCGCTTCAGGGGTCACCAACGGCGCTTGTATCTTTACGTGTAAGTAAAAAAAAAAAGTAAAAGCATCCGTTTCCTCCTGCTCCTCCTCCTCCTCCTCTTCCTCCTCCTCCTCGTCCTCCTCCTCCTCCTCCTCCTCATCATCATCCTCCCGTCCCCCCAATTTCCCCATCCACCCCATCCGGCTTCCCACCAACCCACCCACCCACCCACCACACCCCACCCTCTCCCCTTCCTCTCATCCCCTCTCCTCCTCAAAGAGTACACAATCTGAAAGCTACTCTCTACTCTCCGCTGAGTATGTCTGGAGAGTGTCCCGTCCTGTCCGCGTATTGTTTTTTACACACAGAAATTCCTGATTTGGATTTTCCGATGTGTTTTTCAATCCGGTCGTTTCCGGTTCTTCCGAAATCGTGTTCCCGCTGCAGCGCCGCCCCCGTTCCCGCGCTTTGGTCGTTCAGAATCGTGTACCCGTCACGGCGCTGGCCTCGTCCCCGCGCCTCCGGACGGCACCTGGTATTCGAAAGCGCCCACATCGTGCAGGCACGGTAACGGAGGACATGGGGCCGGCATTCCGGATAGGCCCTGTCCCGTCGTAGACGGGCCACTTACCCTCCAAGCTATCCAGGGCCATGCCACGGCATGCAATGCGATGTTGTATTGTGCACCGCTTTGTGATGCCATGTTTGGCGTTGTTATGCTTGTGATGCAATGCTTCAGTGCACAATGCCACGCCATGCTATGGCATGCTACGTTTTGCTGTGTTTTTCTACGCCGCGCTTCTTCATCCATCGATTACCCTCTTGGGATCATTGCCTTGCTCGACATCCAACTGCGCGGATAAATTGGAAATTTTCACCATGGTAAAGGATGGGAGGGGGGGCAGGACACCAGATGTGACGCTAACGCACTTAGCTTGTCCTCCTCCTTCCCCCCTCCTCTTCCTTCACCTCCATCCTGTCTCCGTGCAGGTAATCCCTCCCTGTCGCACCCCGAAGCCGGTCGGGCTGGGCGTTTCACCTGACACTTCGTCACCACTTACGATCATAAAACTGAACAAACATGTAGTTTTCTCTTTAGTGCCGCGCACCCTCGACTGAAACATTGCCAGACCTTCATGGTCGGAGGACAGCCCGTTTGCAAAATGTAGCTCTCGCCTTCGCGCCGCCCGCGATCGTCTTAAAAGCTTGCCAGAGATTCGCAGATGGAGGGCAGTTTCTTTTCAAGATGTGATCCTCGCCCCAGCGCCGCGCACATTCGCCATAAGAGTTTGCAACAGTTTCACTTGAACTGGGACCGACCGTCCCGGCATTCCTATAGGTTTACCACGATATGTTCTCAGAGCCCAGACATGTTCTAAGAGCAAAAAATGTTCTTATAGCATAAGCCCGATACACTGAGACAAGACAGCCCCAGCCAGAAATGTTATAAGATAATTGTGTGAAAGCCACAAAAAGGTTATTAGAACATTGCTTGGTAGGCCTATAGGCACGCCAGGACGCTTCGCCACTGCTTGATTCAAGGATTCTCATTGTCACTTCCAATAGATGGCGTTGATGCACGGTGTCGGAATGTCTGCGCGCTGCACTCACACTGACTCGCAACGTGGGAGCCCCAAGAATGGCATTTTGCCACAATTCCGTCTTTTCAAACAGTTACAACGGGGCGCTTCCCTCTGCAAGCATGAACCCATGTATGGGGCCTAAGGAGAACGTGAATGGAGGGAACGAAAACTGCAACATCGCTGATGAGTCTTAGGTTTACACTGGTCCTCCTCTTCTATCTCCTTCTCCCTTCCTTGGCCCGCTGTCGGGGCGCCCGCCCGGCCAGGCCGCCCGCCGCGGGCGCCCGCACTCGCCGCGGGCGGGCCACCTAGCGCCCAGCACGCAACGGCCGCTCCCCGCGACCACGGGGACGCGGCGGGTGGCGCCCGTCGCTGGCGCGGGGAGCCCCTGCGCACCCGCCCCCTGGGTAGGGGGTCCCTCGGCGGCCCCCCCGACGCCAGCCTGGCGTCGGGGGGGCGCCCCGACGCCCGTCCTGAGGACGGGCGCGTGCCGCTCGGAAAGTCGCCTCCGGCCCGTCAGCCCCCGGTTGGGGCGGGTGGCTGCGCGGTATAGGCACCCGGCCCGGAGCGGAGGGGCAGCGGCCGGCGGGGCGTCGCGGGGCGGGGCCGGGCAGGGAGCGCGCCAGGGACCAGGAGCCAAGGCCAGAGGGCCGGGCCGAGGAGACAGGGGGGGAACGGGGGAGAGGGGCGCGGCGAGGCGAAGCGGGGATGAGGCCAGGAGGAATGAAAGGCAGGGGCGGGAGGCCAAAGGGGGGAGAAAACGGGGCGGGGGGACCGGGAGGGAAGGGAGGAGGCCAGGGCGGGAGGCCAGGGCGGGGGGCGCGGGGCGGGCAAGAGTGGGCCACGGGGGCCCGAGAGGGTGGTGGATGCGCCCGTCCGCTCAAGCTTAGCACCTGGGCTGCCTGGCTGGTGGTGCCGCTTGCACGAGGCCTGCTGGAGCGGCCTGGCTGCTGCAGCGGCCTGGCTGGTGTGCCACCTGCGGGAAGCTGCGGAGGCTGCGGAGGCTGCGGACGCACAACGACAACGACGACGACAAGGACGACGACGACGACGACGACGACGACGACGAAGAGGACGACGAGGATGTCGCCCTCCTCACCTCCTCTTCACCCTCCTCCCCCTCGCGGCCACGGCACCGACCCCCGGCGGCGCCCCTGGGCAGCTGGCCTGGGTCCGTGAACACAGCGAGGCCGGGGACGCCTTGCAGCCCCTCGAGCAGATCGACCACCTTCGGAGCACCAAAGCCGTCGCCGGCGCAAATCGAACATCGCAAACTTCGTCGTCGTGGCCGCCGTCGTCGTCGCCGTCGTCGTCCGTCGTCGTCGACGTCCTGGTCGTCGTCGCCGTCGCCGTCGTCGCCGTCGCCGACGCCGTCGGCGAGGCCGTCGCCGTCGTCCGTCGTATGTCGTCCGTCGTCCGTCGTCGTCGTCGTCGTCGTCGTCGTCGTGGTCGTCGTCGTCGTCGTCGTCGTCGTCGTCGTCGTCCGTCGTCGTCCGTCGTCCGTCGTCGTCGTCGTCGTCGTCGTCGTCCGTCGTCGTCGTCGTCGTCGTCATCGTCACTGTAGAGGTCATCGTCGAGAAAAACGTCGTCGAAAAGGTCGCCGTCTTCGTCGCAAGCGTCGTCGCCGCTGATGGTGGAGGGGGACGGGGAGAAGGTGAAGGAGGGGAATGGGGGGAAGGAGGAATGGGGGGAACACAGAAGGGGGAGGACAAGCTAGGCGCGCTCGCGCCATTGTGCATGGAATATTACATCGAAATACATGTTCACACATCAAATGTCATCATCACCACCACTACACATCGCACGCGCGGCATGATTGCCCGCGCGACAGGCCCTCCCGCCCCCGGGCTCCCCCATCTTTGATATTGTGTTTGAGCAAACCCGCGGAGGACGGTGCGTCGCAGCAACATTGAATAATGGGGTGGGGTTGAATAGGCCTGCCAGCGGGCTCCACGGCGTCCAATCCTTGCAATGCCCAGTATGGCGGCGGGGCAAGACCAGGTCACTGTGTCCATTGGTCATGCCAATATCTACTAGGGAGGGGGATTGGGGTCTCAGGCTTTCAAGACTTGGATTGTAGGCCGTTGCACGTAAACTAACCCACCTTGTGCACGAATTCGATATCAAGTTCCATCTACTTATCTGACATCCAGCCCCTCCCATCCATCCCTTCCGATTGCGCTGAGTTGTGCTCTACCCGCCGGGTGTCATGGCGGACATGGGACCCCCACAGGTCCCGATCGCCTTGCCTTATGCGAGATATGAAGCTGTATACATTGAAGAAAGTGGCGGATGGATGAGCAGGGGGATGAGCAGGAGGGAGGGATGAGGAGGACGAGGAAGACCTGCAGCAGCAGGAGCAGAAGGAGCGGGAAGAGCAGGAGGACCAGGGGAGGCGGGGGAGGAGAAAGAAAGGGGACGACAACGAGGAAGTATTCGGATCGTTGCCCGCGCTGGGGCGAGAGCACCAGTCTGAACGACGGGAGCAAAGCGCCGCCCCTGGAAAGACGCCAACGTCACCAGCGAGAGCACCATTTTGAATAACCGAGAACGTTGTGATTCAAAAACAAACGCATGCAAGGCTAACGCCAACTTTCAAACTTCGGCGTGTGACAAAACCATACGCGGAGAAGAGGGACACCTTCTGGACAAAACCAAGAGAGAAGGGAGAGCAATCTTCATATCAAGCTAGGTGTGCTCGCGTCACATCTGACGCCCTTCGCCCTGCCCCTCCATCCCATCCCTTACCATTGTGTAGAGCCCCGCTCTATTCGCACAGTCGGACGTCGAAGAAGACAACGATCCCCAACGGGTACGCGATGCATAGCATGGCATAGCACTGCATACAGAAGCATTGCAGCGCAAGGCATGGCATCGCAGACCTGTACATTACATAGTATGCCATCGCATGTCTTTGCATGGCATGGCACTGCAGAGCCGATCGATTTGAATCACAATAGTGCAGACCAATGTATGGAATCTCACATACATTTCGTTGAAGTGCATACCATGGCTGCATGAACGGTGCAACTAGAAAATCAGGCTGGCGGACCAGCAATTCGGAGATGAGGCCGACGCTGCAGCTGGAGCATTACTCGGAAAGACCAAAATCGCGGAAACGAGGCCAACGCTGCAGGGGAACACCATCCAGAAGGACCGAGAACAAGGAAATACGACCAGCGCTGCCGCGGGCGCACCATTCGGAAGGACCCAGCGCGCGGAAATGAGACCAGCGCTGCAGCGGGAGCACAATGAAGGACCAGAAGCGCAAAAATGCAGCCAGCGCTGCAGAGGGAGCACCATTGTGGAGGACCGAGAAGAAACCAGATATGAACACACGGCGGAAAAACAATGCTTGAACTCCTGTGCTTGAAAACAATACGCGGAGAGGGCGGAACATCTTCTAGACAGAGTCAAGGGATAGAGGAGAGAGCAGTATTCATCTTGTGTAACCGGTGATCAATTATGGAAGAGCAGGGAGGGAGGGAGTGGGAGGGGGGAGGGCGAAGAGGGGGGGAAGGAGGGTAGGGGACGAAGGGAAGATCGGAGGGAGGAGGGGGAGGAGAGAGGAGGCCCCTACGCCTCCCTGAGCAAGGCAACTCGCCTGTGCATCGGCTATGGATGGGATCGTGAGGGCACGCGAAGCGCCAACTATTCTTAGAGCGCCGGACCTCGCCAAATCGCCATGCGACCGGCCGCCGAGCGGAGTGCGTGTTGGGATTGTGGAATGCATCTTTCTCCTCGTGTCTTCCCTCCTTGTCCTCCTCGTATTTCTCCTACTGCTCCGCCTCCTCATCATCACCCTCTCATCTAAGATAAGACGGCACAAGAGGAGGACGAGGGAAAGGCTTCATGAATAGTATTACTGGAAGCACAAACAACAAACATGAGGAAGAGAAAGAGGTAGGGGGAAAGGGGTGAGAAAGAGATCCAAGCGGAAGAAGCTGGAACCGAGAGAACAAGTTCAAATGATGACAGAAACTGAATCTGGACTGCCGCCTTCTCAGAAGGAGGCATCGGGTAAGTCGCGTCCTTACCCTCTGTGAGGAAGAGCTTCGCGAAGAGGGGCCAATACGTGTCCTGGCGAATCACGCACATACATGCCACCGCCAAGATGCAATAGCGGGTGATGTGTCGATGCGTATGCGTTCTTGACTGCTGCAGTCGGCACCCGTGTCCTGCCCGTCCGTCTTGATAGCACCTTATGACGCCCGGGCGCACTATGGCATACAACCACCGTGCTACCAGAAGGGGCGCTGCATGATGAACCAAAGGGGCTCTTCAGGCCACGACGGACCCGGGCCACGGACAGGCTCCGTGACCAGGACCTAAGGAACGGCCCGAAAACCAGGGCCCTCCTGAGCACAGGATAGTCTCTGCTCTCAGGGAGACGTAAGACTGGGGTTCGGCGAACTCGGGTTGGCCTGACGGGGCCGTAAGGGAAATGACGAGACCCCGTCTGACCTGTGACGCAAGCCCCCGTTGCAAACATCCCGCGCCAAGTGGAACATCCAGACCCAGGACGGGCTCGTCAAAAACCGTCGACAAACCCGAGTACTGGCGAACTGGAGTCTTTCGTTTCCCCGATACTTCAGCGTCGGAACTGCAGCACGGGACCCCATCGGCCCTGCCCCAGGGCCTCGACCGAAAGCACCACCCTCGTACAGCCGGGGCGGAGCTGCCCACGACGCTGCCTGGGGGCTGCCTGCCGAAGAGGACTCCCGTGACACCCCCGCCCCTCCCGACTCCTCGAGGAAAGGGCGCCCTGGCCCAGGGTGCCCCCAGCTTTGGGCTCTATTTGGCCTCCCCTGGGGCCCTCCGGGCCTCGTGAGGGGTTCTCGGAAGGCCGGGGGGGACTCCTTGGACATCCTGGGGGCACCTTGGGCCAGGGGCACTTCTGGCCACCCCCGAATGTAGGGGGGCGGAGGACGGAGATTGTAAGGGGGAGGATGCGCTGGCCTCCGCCGATGGCGAGAGACCAGCCTCTCGACGCTGGGAAGAGGAGGGCTTTCTAGAAGCGCCCTGGTTGTGTCCAGCTTCCGCCCAGGCTGGCCACATCTACACTGCACCCGACTTCCCAGACACCAGACGCCACGATTGTGTCACAAAGTGGCTCCCCAGAGATCTGGACTCCCAGGGTCCAATTTCTCATCCTCAGTCGTTGTTTCACGCTCCCGGGACCCTGCAAGGGCAGCCCACAGTCGAGAACAGATACAAGCATTGCGTCATGACTTGTTCACGACGTGAGGAGGTTGGCTTTCGGGCCATGGCTCCGGCCTCGGGCGGCCGTTTGAGACGGTTCTAGCACCCGCGGAACGCTCTCGGCGAGGCGCAGCTGCTGGAAAGCATCCCGCGCAAGGAACAGCCAGAACATCCGAAAACCTTGTCGTGACAACTTCGGAATTCGTCGTGTCAGGGTTCCTGGGAGGAGGGGGAGGGCTCCTGCCGCTGGGCCGAGTCGAGTCGAGTCGAGGCGCGCTCGAGCACAAGACCCGCGTCCCCGCCGGGAGTCCTCGAGCTGCTGCGTGGCCTGAGGCGCCGCCCCTCTACCCTCCCTCATGCTGCTCATCGTGATCATCATTCCCCTCCCCATCCCCCTCCTCCTTCTCTTCCTCCTCCTCCTGCACCTCCTCCTCTTCCTCCTCCTCCTGCTTCTCCCCTTCCTCGCTGTCCTCCTCCTCCTCCCCTTCCTCGCTGTCCTCCTCCTCCTCCTCTTCCATCCCTTTTACGTGTGGAAAAAATCCTCCTTCTTGTACCCACAGACGTGTTGGTAGGGCGGGCCCGGCGCTCCGCCCGAAAAACGCTGCACCATCTAAGGTCCTGGCGCTCGAGACCTGCCACAGCTCCAAGGATGAAGGGCGGGCCGTTCTCAAAATGGCGCTCTCGCCGGGGCGCCGCGCACAGTCGTGGTAAAAGCTTGCAACCGCTTCAATGGATGGAGGGCGGCTCCTTTTCAAAAGGTACGTCAAAGATGGAGGGCGGCTGCTTCCAAAAACGTGGGCCTCGCCAGGGCGCCGCAGATGTTCTTATGAATTCTACACGCTCGCCGCAGCTTCAGACCTTGCGGGCCAGTCTGTTTCGAAACCTGCCGATCGCATTACCGCCGCGCGCATTCCTTAGAAAAGCAATGCCAAAGATAGAGGGCGGGCCTCTCTGAGAATGTGGCTATCGCCAAGGCGCCGCGCACATTCGCCGTAAAAGTTAGCAGCCGTTTCATAGATTCGCTTGCGTGAAGTTCCAGGAAATATGTTCTGGCATGGTTCAAGGTTGTCGGGACGCGACAGTCGCGTTGGTTCGCGGCAGTGAGGTCGCAGGAAAATGCGTTGGCACGATGAGAGATGTTCAGATGGTTATCTTACAATGAAGAACTTCCTGCAAGGAAAACAACTTATTGCCTGGACCCGTGGCAAGGGAACCCAGAGGGAGGGTGTATTGCAACATCGTTGATGCGTGTTGGGTTTACACTGGTTCTCCTCCTGCTCCTCGCCTTCGCCTCCTCCTCCTCCGCCTCCTCCACCTCCTCATCTGCATCCTCCTCCTCCTCGTTATCCTCCTCCTTCTCCTCCTCCTCCTCCGCCTCCTCCTCCTCGCTATCCCCCCCCATCCTTTTTTCCGATTCCCCAATCAGTGCTTGCACTGAAGGGGTCCTAGCGGATGTTGAAAGACTTGGCGAAAGAGCCCGGCCGATTTTGATGGGCGGCCCGGTTCCCGGGTTCCCAGTTCCGGGTTTCCCGGTTCACTGTTGCTGGTTCTGGGCTGATTTCGGTGGGCGGCGGGGTTCCCGGGTCTCTGGGTTCCCAGGTTCCTGGTCGATCTCCTTATCGACCGGTCGAACCGTCGATCTCAATAGTTACCTCTCTATCGATCTCATGATCGATCTCACAATCGATCTCACGATCGGTCTCACAATCGATCTCACTATAGATCGCACGAGCAATCTCACTGGTCCGACTTCACGATCGGTCTCACGATCGACCTTACCATCGTCTTCATTATCGACCCCGTTATCGATTTCACGATCGATCTCAATATCCATATATATTATTTTTCTTTGTCTTTGGTCAAGGCTTCTCTCTGTATAGAATGGATCGCTCCTCACAGTCCCACCCCAAGACGCGTCGTCGGCAGGGTGAGCCGTGAGTTTCGGCTGAAATTTCCTCCCCAACTTTCTGAAGCTTGGAACTTGCAGCGGCTTCAAGGATTGAGGGCGAGCCGTTTTCAACATGTGGCTCTTACCTTACAGCCATCGAATGTGTCTCTAAACGTTGCAACAGCTTCAAAGGTGGAGGGCAGTTCTTTGAAAACCGTACATTCTCGCCTTGACGCCTCGCACATTCGTCCTCTCGCTTTACCGGCAAGCGCAATCGTCTTGAAATGTTGCAACAGCTTCAAGGGTGGAGGGTTGGTGGTCTTCAAGGTGTGGTTCTCGCCTAAGCGCCGCAACCACTCGCCTAACAATTCGCAACAAGTTTGAGGGTTCGTACGGCTGAAATCCCCAGAATGGTGCTCTGGCATGATTAACAATTGTCATGACGCAAAAGTCAAGTTGATTCGCGGAGTTGACGTCCCTGGAATGGCGTTCTGGCACGACTTAGGATTGCCAGAACGCAACAGTCGCTTTGACTGAGGCCGTTGAAGTTCCAGGAACTGTGATCTGGCACGATTGGAAGCTTGGTGGCGGTTGACTCGCACTGAAACACCTCCCGCAATGAAAGTAAAGTCTTGGAGGGACGTATGAAGAGGGAACTTAGAGGGAGAGTTCATTGCATCATCGCATTTTCCTCCTCATCCCTCCCTCCCTACTTCTTCTCCTCTCCCTGATCCTCCTCCTCTTCTTCCTCCTCGTCCTCCTCCTTCTTCATCTCGTCTCGCTCGCCCCCTGCTGCTCCTCCTCCTCCTCCTCCTCCTCCTCGTCCTCCTGCTCCTCCTGCTCCTCCTCCTCCTCCTCCTCCTCCTCCTCCCTCCCTCCCTCCCTCCCTCCCCCGCCGGTCCCTCCCTCCCTCCGTCCCTCCCTCCCTCCCTCCTCACTCCTCCCGCTCCTCCCTCTCCCTCCTCCCCTCCCTCATTTCCCTCCTCGTTTCCCTTCTCCGCTTTTCCCTGGTCCTCCTGCTCCCCCCGCTCCTTCCACTCCAGTCCCTGCTGCTGCTGCGTCGCTTTGTCTCGTCGCAACGCGGGCAACTGTTATGAATCCAAATCGTTTTTCATCGTTGTCGCTCCCGTCATTTCCTCTCCTCCGCTTTTCCCTGGCCCTCCCTTGCCTTCCGACCTTTCCGCCTGAAGCTGTTGTTCGATCGCATCCTTCTCCTCCCGCGCATCCTCCTGCTCACCCGCCACCTCCTCCTGTGATTCCTGTGCACGCAGCTACCCTTGTCTTCCGATTGCGCATCACACGAAGCGGTCTGTCTGTCGGAGCCGCACGTCGGCTATGACACGCGCCTGCGGACATAGAACAATCAGTGCCATTGGGAGGGACGGGAGGGAGGGATAGGATGTCAGATGAGGCGCAAGCGCACCTAGCTTGCCCTCCTCCCCTCTTCTCCCCCTGCCATCCCCACTCCCTCCTCCTCCTTCGTCTCCTCCTTCTCCTCCATCTCCTCCTCATCCTCCTCCCCGTCCTCAGCCTCACCACAGCCACCACCACCACCACCACCACCACCACCACCGCCAGCATCAGCATCATCAAGGAGGGCATCATCATCATCATCAGCAGCATCATCTGTATCACCCGCATTATCATCATCATCATCATCATCAGCTGCAGCATCATCATCATCAGCATCATCATCATCAGCAGCATCATCATCATCCGCATCCACATCAACATCATCATCACCGCCACCATCATCATCATCATCAGCATCATCATGCTCATACTCACCACCACCAGCATCATCAGCAGCAGCAGTAGCGACACCAGCTCCAACATCATTAGCATCATCATCAGCAGCAGCAGCATCCTCATAATCATCATCCAGATCATCCTCACAATCATCAGCACCAGCATCATCAGTAATCATCAGCATAGTCATCACCATCAACCTCAACATCATTGTCATCAGCATCAGCAGCATCATAATCATCATTGTCAGCATCAGCATCGGAATCATCATCCTCATCCGCATCCTCACCCTCAGCCTCATCATCCTCACCAGCAGCAGCACAAACAACCCCATCTTCGCCAATATCACCATCATCATCGTCATCATCGTCGCCGCCACAATCACCACAATCACCGTCATCAGCATCATCACCACCACCACCATCACCAATCGTCGCAATCACTATCAGCATCATCATAATCGTAATCAGTATCACCATCATCATCACCATAATCATCAGAATCATCATCATCATCATCATCATCATCATCATCATCATCATCATCATCATCATCATCATCATCATCGTCAACATCGCCATCGTCATCGGCATCATCATCAGCTTCATCATCATCATCCGAATCATCCTCCTCATCATCAACACCCTTACTTTCATAATAAGCATCATCATCAGCATCATCATCAGCGTAGTCATCAACATCGTCACCATCGTCATCATCGTCACCACCGTCATTACCATCACCACCATCATCAATAACGCCATCATCGTTGCCGTCGTCGCCGTCGTAAACAGTAATTATCATCATCGTCATGACCATCATCACCATCATCAACATCATCATCACCACCATTATCGTCAGCAGCATCAGCATCAGCATCAGCATCAGCATCAGCATCAGCATCATCATCAGCATCATCAGCATCAGCCTCATCCTGGGACTCATCCTGATCCTCATGCTCATCCTTATCCTCATCATCAGCAGCAACAGCATCAGCATCATAATCAGTTTTAGCAGCACCAGCAGCCGCACCAGCATCTTCATCATCGTGAGCATCTCCATCACTCCTGCTCCTCCTCCACCTCCTCCTCCTCCTCCTGTTCCATGCTCGCCTGCACCCCTCCCCATCCTTATTCCTCCTTCTTATCCGCTCCGTCTCTGCCACGAAGCCGGCCGATAGCCACCCGATCCGGAACCTCCCACCCTACCTGCTGTAAGCACTGAGCGAGCGCCTTCCGTTTACAACAGGAACGCGTTCAAATCCCAATATCGAGGTGTGCCACCTCGTGCTTATTGTATTGTGGGAGGGAGGGAGGAAACAGGCGGGGTCCTTTGACTCGCTTGGCCGCTTGGCCTGACCAACTTGATCTCTCCTTTCTAATCCCACTCCTGAGCATGTCGTTATTCATGTGATCCCACTCTGCCGCCTGGCCGCCCGATAGGGGCCCCAAGCAGTTCGCTCACGAATTCGTCGGACGATGGACCGCGCGCGAGCAGGCGAAATGTGGATCTCGCCTGAGCGCCACGCAGATTTCGCCCGGAAATGGCGTTTCCGCGCGGGCGCGGCGCACAGTTGTTCGATCGCCCGGTCGTCGGACGCGGAGCCGCAGGAGAGAGAAAGAGAGAAAGAGAGAGAGAGAGAGAGCGAACAAAATGACGCCCTCGCTCTCACAGGGTTCGCCCACAAGTCA